TACCGATTTGAAATGAGAATTTATAATAAATATAAAACACCAAGATCCTTTTAACTTGTAAACGTATTTCATCTTAGTTCCCAGGGCAGACAACGCATCTTCATTTCGATTCTTAATCGAGGATAGAAAAAGTCGTCTATGGAATGAATAAAAAAATATTAAGGGTCACTTGTCTGGATAAAACTATCCTATCTCATATAGTGGCGAGTAAAAATACCCACTACCCCATATCTTCCCGTGGGTGTCGTGAGAGACGACAGAGAGAAACTGAGGCAGAAGATGGCCAGCAGCGTCTTTCTGATAACAGCAAAACAACAATAAAAAACTGCGGTTGCCAACCCGCTCGCCAAACGTGGCAACTATGGCAATATACCCCCATGAATAAAGTTACGAAGAGACGGCACCAAGTCCCCAGCGGCCTCGCTATTCCTGGCACGATGGTGACCATGGTAACGGCGGGCAGTGTGCTAAGAATCTCCGGTGGAGGTTCGGTTGCCACCTACGATGACTCAACCTGGCAACATATATCGCACGCACCCTGAGGACTGACGAGATGATCCTGGTGCTGAAAGAAGAGATAGATAAGTTGCGTTGGAATATTATAGAAATATACGACGTCCGAAGAGAGAGGAAGGACATGGTAATCCTCAAATCAGTCAACTTGTTCCATCACCGGGAGGCCGACCATCTGTCCCAAGGAGATGTACGATTTATTGTCCACAAGTATCTCGTTAACAGCGTTGTAAAGATTGAGAGTGTGTCAACGAGGGTTGCGTGCGACCCTATACTCAGAATTACCAAACGGTATTCGCTGAAGGCTATACAGATTTACGCACCAACCTCGGCACATTTCGATGAGGAGGTAAAGGATATGTATGAGAATATATCTAGCCATGCATTCCTCCAAAATTGACTATACGGTGTTAATGGGAGACTTCAACCCAAAACTAGACACAAGAGAGAACGGTGAGCTGAAGGTAGGGAAAATTGGAATAGGGCAACGGAACCCACGGGGCCTGTAGCTGGCCAACTTCATGCAGAAAAGAGGGTCTCTTTATGATAAACTCTGTCTTCCAGAAGCGGGCTTACAGGAACTGGTCGAGCCCCGACGGTTCGACAAAAAATTTGTTATAAATATCGTAATTGTCATATTATATTATATTAATCAAACTATAAAAATCAAAAACAATTCCAATGTTACAATTAATAATTAGTTAATTCGTTAATTCATAGAAATTGATTAATTTTGATTTGAAGGTGGATAAACTATTGCAATTAATATCGAGGCCAGAAATCTTCGAGGACAGTTCGTTATAAGTGCGAGCCAGTCTGGCTAGAGGGGAATACTTTCCCAAGTTAGACCTATAAAGGGATACATTGAAAAAGGCGTGCGGATTTCTAGGCATTCTTGATGGCACCTTAAAGTTAAATAATTGAACTATTGCTGGACAATCAATAATATTATTGAGCGTTTTGTATAGGAACATCATGTCTGAGATACTTCTATGCGATTGTAGTGATGTGATGTTAAATTGTGCCAACTGTCTTTCGTAGGAATCATTAGTTTGATAGCTATTCGAACGGTACGCAACATGACGCAGCAGTCGCTTTTGTATTCTTTCGATTCTAATGCTATGGATTTTGTAGTGCGGATTCCAAATTTGACTGCACTATTCTAGTTTACTTCTAACCAGACTACTGTAAAGTTTGATTGTAGTAGAGGGCTGCTTGAACTCTTTGGAATTCCTCAATACAAAACCCAATGACTTAGTAGCTGAGGTGATTATGTTATCGAAATGGTTTGTAGATTTTAATTCGCTATCTAGTATAACGCCTAAATCACGTATTGCTCGAACTGCAATTAGTTTCTCAGTATCAATATAGTATTGACTCTGTATATAATTATGTTTTCTGGTAAACCTAATAAGTTGACATTTTTTGGCATTGAGAATCATTTGAATGTTGTTACACCATTGAATAAGGCTGTTGAGATTATCTTGTAGTAATTCGACGTCAGAGTTGCTTCTAATAGTTTTAACTATTTTGAGATCATCAGCAAATAGGTAGACCTTAGAGTGTTGAAATATCGAAACAATGTCGTTTATAAAGATGTTAAAAAATACTGGATTAGGTCCAGTATTTTTTAACATCTTTATAAACGACATTGTTCAAGCCTTACAGTACACCGGAGTAGGCAATATATGGCTGCGAGGAGTACCCATCAATCACCACGGTCGAAGATCTACTTTGAAGGTATGATACACACCAGTTTTAAAAACCATGTTGCTGCCAGTTTATACGTCGTCCTAGATTCTTGAAAAATTATTCATAGACTAAGATCTCAAAGACCTTTGACATTGTTGATAATATGGATATAGGTCTATAATTAGTAACACTCGTAGGATAATCACTTTTAAAAATTGGTACAATCCGCGCTTCTTTCCACTTATCGGGGAAAATGCCAGAGCTCAAGGAGGTATTGAATATAATAGTTAACGGAGCAGCCAAAGAATTTGCACACCTATATATAAGTATAGGCGGGGAATACCGTCTGGATCAGCATTTTTTGATGTATCTAACCTTTTCAGCCTTTTCTCAATTTCTCGTTTAGATACGTAAATATTGCCTATATATTTTTTTTTTGTTTTGGAGACTAATTGTGTGTCAAAATTTTTATTAATATCATCCTTAATAAAAACCGATGAGAAATGACTAGCAAACACATCACATTTTTCTTGTCTACTATTTGCATCACGATCATTCAGAGACATTTTATTAGGATAATTTGAGCCTTTACGACGCATGTTCTGCATATATGTCCAAAAATAACTCGTATTATTGCTAATAGCTTCCTCGATGTGTTCAATATAATTATAATAACATTGTTTTATTAGTTTATCGCAATCCTTCCTTAGGTAAGAGAATTCAATTTTATCTAATGGATTATTAAACAGTTTAATTTTATTATGACATTTGTGTTTCCGTTTGATGAGTTTAATTAGAGCGAGTATGAACCAGATAGGATAAGATTTTGAAGATTTGTACGATTTGGGGACGACTCTGTCTATTGCTACCTGCAGGATTTCGTAGAATTTCGATATCATTTCATTTACATTATTTAGTACGCCTAAATTTTGTAGCCAAACAACATTGTTTAAGAATGCTATAATGAAATCAAAATCTGATCTTTCAAAATTGTGGAAAGATGTATTCTTAGTTGCGGGAAAATTAATTCATAAGTTGATTTTAAAGAAAAATTCTAATGGTAGATGTAAAATGTCTACGTTGCGTATAGGATACTGACTTTCGACCACATTGATGTTTACATTAGACAAAACTAGATCTAGTATCTTTCCGCTTGCGTTTTTGTTAGTGTTATATTGATTCAGATCGTGCAAAGTGAAAATATCTATTAAGCTTCCTTGTTCTTCAAGATAGGCAACAATACTCTCTTGAAGAACTAAAGACCGATTTTTCTTTTAAGGCACATGCTGTTTTAGAGAGTCATTACGAATCGTCTCGTACCCAGAATCGACGACTATACTACGCTTACTAAGCCTTTTAAATTTATAAGGAAATTTTACGAGTCAATTATAGTGTTCAAATGAAATAATGTAAGTATTCTCAATATTTTGTGTAAGCTCGCTCTCTCCGAGTAAGTAATGTGTTCACTCTGAGGATGAAGATAATAATGTCTAAGACGTTACATGCTCTTATTTTAAAATAAGGTAAGACGCATGTTCATCAAGAAAAATATTTAACTGCTTTTCTCGTGTGAATATGCTTACTTTGTTAACCTGTTCTCAAAAATCGTTTAAAAGCAATTATACAAAGGATTAAAAAAATAAATATATATCTAACTTAACTTAAATTGAAGAACCGATCAAGTTTTAAAAAACTATTAAAAGAAGGAAATTTAAAGTTTATACTATGATGTAATTACTTATTAATTGTGAAATCAACTACCCGTTCGGTCGCTAGATTTATAGATTGACCCCTCCATCCTACCCCTCCCCTATCCGTCACTATATTGAGTAGCTCAGAACTGCAATTATGAAAGGTAATAGTTAGGGCAAAGGTTTTTTTTGTAGTTGTAAAATAGCTGAGCCGAATGAATAAATTTTGTGAAAGCAAAGACGAGCAATATGCGATTACTGTCAGCCAGCTATCATCAGCATACGAAAGTTTACGGTACGATGTATCTAGGCATGTTTACAGCACCTAACCTGGTATTTATATGCCAAGTAAGGTTTGTTTAGAAGAATGTTAACGAAGTAGCACACTTTTCACTTGACAGTAAATGGATGCTTTTGCCTACAAAATCAGCATCATCCCATCATCATCATCCTCATCATCATTACAGCCTTTCACAAGGAATGCCAAAAGCACGATTCTGAGCCACCTGCATCTATTGACTTTCTTCATGTCTTACCAGGTCGTCACCCCATCTAGTAGTGGGACGCCCTACTTGAGAACATTTTTCCCCCATTGGTAGTCGGTTCTTCGGGCTATATCGTCGGCCCATTGCCACTTCGGCTTACTAATCCGTTACGCTATGTCGGTCAATCTGGTTCTACTTGAATCCGTCGATTGACCTCTGGGTCGATGAACTAAGCGCAGACAAGGTTATTGCTATTTGTTTTTGTCGTTGTTGTAAGGAAAACGTTTCACTAATGAATCAGGTAATGCAGCTTTTACTTCAGCATTTAAGATGGGCGGTATAAGTCTGTCAAGATTGTTACGTATTACATAATGACTTAAAAATTTCTAATTCGTATCTTATTTAAGTCCTCTTAGTAAAATGTCTTGCCATCGAGATGCGATATCTTTGGGTACGACTTGCCATTGACGTCCGTCGAGTTGGGGATTGATAATATAAATCTGATAATCAATAAATCTGAAATTGCATTTATCGACGTTCAACCGCACACTCCTCGCACACGCTACGCGCCCGCCTCGTTCTCGCTTCGCGCTGATCCCGCGCTCACCCCGCACACGCTCTACACACGCGCCCCTAACTCGGTGGACGTCAATGGAAAGCTAAGCATATCTTTGTGTAATGGTGGCCCTAATTGAATCGCACTCTGCGGAGCATCTCCCAACAAACTTAAAATTGACTCATCTAACTCGACATCCATACCGTCAGGCACAGACGACGGCCCTGGTTCGGAGGTAATTTCAGTTACAATGGGTACTGCTGCCGTCATGCTCGGTGAAAGCAGGTAGTCATGCTCGCCCATAATGCCGTCATCTAAGGTGATGTCTTGTATCTCGTTATTTATTTCATTGCCGGTAAGGTTTGGGGTGACAACTATAATTAAATTAGCCAATAAATTATTTTTTCCTCCCTTTAAATACCGTGCAAGGCTGGAAGCTTGGAAGTGGAGCTACAATAAGTTAACATAAGTCGCTAGAATGAAGCTGTGAAGCATAATAGCAGCTTAATGCTGCTGTGTTTCGTATGGTAGGTTCGGCCTCACATGGAATACTGTTCCCATCTCTGGGCTGGGGCTCCCCAGTGCCAGCTTCTTCCACTTGACCGCATCCAGCGCAGAGCGGCTCGAATCGTCGACGACCGAGTCCTTTCCGATCGGCTCGACTCATTGGCACTGCAAAGAGATGTTGCATCTCTTAGCATTTTCTTTCGCATTTACCATGGGGAGTGCTCTGAGGAATTGTTCAGATTAATCCCAGCCGCCAAATTTCACAAACGCACATCGCGGCAGAACGCTCGATACCATCCACACCATCTGGATGATTGGCGGTCCACCACTGTGCGATTTAGAAGATGTTTTCTTCCTCGCACAACTTCCTTGTGGAATAGTTTACCACCAGCAATTTTTCCGGACCGATACGACTTAGGGACCTTCAAGAAAAGAGCCTACTCCTTTTAAAAGGCCGGCAACGCATCTGCAATTCCCCTGGTGTTGCGGTTGTTCATGGGCGGCGGTAGTCACTTACCATCAGGTGAGCCGCATGCTCGTTTGCCCCCTCTCCTATAAAAAAAAAATGGTGAGTGTAGAGAACCGGTGACCCTTTTTACTGGAAACGAGGCAATCTGTCTTAGTCCTCAGGGGCGATAACGCATCTGCATTTGGATTTTTAATCTCGGATAGATGTGTTTGTGTATTCTATGGGGCACAGTGTCCACTTACCATCAGGTGGACTCTGAGCTCGTTTGTTACCCTTATTCCATAAAAATAATATTTTCAATTTTTATACGTGGTAGAGCTATGCGTAGTATAGTTGTAGCACGAATGGGTCGGCTCGACCGGGGAAGGACCACGCTCTCACAGAATACCAGCGTTAAAATAGCAACTTGACAATGCTGTGTTTCGTATTTTGAGTGTAGAGAACGGGAGACCCTTTTTACTTGAAAAGAGGCATTCCATCTTAGTCCTCACAGGTGACAACGCATCTGCATTTTGATTCACAAACGAGGATAAATGTAGATGTCTATGGGCCACAGCAACCACTTACCATCAGGTGGAATGTGTGCTCGTTTATCACCCTATCCTATAAAAAAGAATTAGCACATCCATTCTTAAAACAAAGACTTGTTGGTAAAGATTTATTTAAAACTAGCTACCCACCCCGGCGTTATTTAGATTTAGGATAGTTACAAAAGACCATTTATTTTAAAAATAAATCGATTGCTCAAAAAAAAAGCTTTGTGGATATAATATATTTAACTTAGATCACTACTGACATTGCTCTATCTGTTGGTCTACTTTCATTACAATCGGTTCAGTTATTCTATAAGTAAATACATCAGTAAACACATAAATAAAATCAAAGTGTCTTTTATTTTATTTTTTTATATGTCTGTCTGTAATATCTGAATAAGTGCCTTATATTGAGCAAAGGGAATTACTTACATGCTACTAAGTCATGACTAATCATTTATAAAAATTATTTCTGTGTACCTATCTGTCTCTCCAGACTAGTCTTCGGAATGGCTGAACCTATTGTAATGAAACTTCCCGACAACAATACCAAGAGTGATCTAGGCTATATTTTATACAAAAAACTTGTTAGTATTTTTCGTGAAATCGAAAACTTTATAAAATAATTAATTATTATTTAATAAAATATAAATAACGATAGTACTACGCTAGTTAATAGATCTTACCCAGGTGAAACCGGACTGGACGCTAGTTTTTGATAACGATATAATTTTTTTTTAAATAAGGTAATAAACGAGGCTCCATCACCGTCTAAATTGTAGTACGATCATTTTTTATCAACTATTTCATCATTATTTATTTCTCTGTAAAAAGTCAGTACCCCCTCTCCGATGCTCTATAAAATGCAAAGCTAGCCAATTGTAACCAGTCGTAATTCAACGTAAAAAAGTTTCATCAATTGGTAAATCGCATCCGCGCAATGCCACGACGGGTTGCCAGTTAGAATATAAGCACCTTACAAAATATTGAAGTCCCATTATCACTAGTTTTTATGTAATCTATTAGACATGGGTTGAACAAATAAGTATAATTTGTGTGGACCTAACTTTCGAATATATTTCTTTAAACAAAGAAAAAAAATCTCCTTGTCCAAAAACCTTTTTGTTGATAACATAATGTTAATGCATAATATAAGAGCTCCTATTATATATTTCAAAAATGTATATAATACAGCATGAATTCATTAAATTAGTTATTTTTATTTTACAATTAATTTTACTTCGTACTTATACTTTAATTTGTTAAAATTGTAGTAGTTTAGTCAAATGTTTTTAATCTATATCTATTTATCCCCTTATCTTTCAAGAAATATATGCCTACTGAGTCATTCTTAGTTAAACCTATGCCCAACTGGGGACCAAAGAGCTTATATTTATACATTTAACTGGTCAAAGCTTTATATATGCGCCTAATATTTGTTCTTAAATAAAACCTTTGTATCACAGTTTTCTCTTAACGTACTTATGTGTATATAAAATTATATCCAATGCAATAATTTTAATATTTCAACTCAATTAAATCTTTGGTTTAAGTTATGTATTCCCCTTACCAAACTTGTCCTTACTTAAGCAAAGGCCTTCAGGCAGCTTATATTATGTATGAGTTTGTTCACTACTCACTGACGAATAAACAGACTTGAGATGCATGCTACTGGTATACTGCCTTAATGGAATCTGTTACTTTACTCGGCGTAAACATTTGTACAATAGTAATGTTATATTATACACGTATCAAGTTAAACTATTAATTTAAAAGAAATCATTATTACCAAAAGATCAACAAAAGCTTAAGTTAACGTAACGGGAGCTGCATTTCTTACCCCCCCCCCCCCTGATTTAGTGCGTAGATTCCCTCTGAAAACTTCTTTAGAATCATTGTGATTTGAAACTCGATGAAACGAAGAAGTGTTTAGAGGAATTGTTCGGATTAATTCCAGCCACAAAATTTCATCAACGCATTTCACAAATCCACATCATCGGGATGTTTGGCGGTCCATTGCTGCAATTACCCTGGTGTTATATTTGTTAATAGGCGGTGCTCGATACTTGCCATCAGGTGATCCGCATGCTTGTTTGTCCTTCTCTTCTTTATAAAAAACACAATAAGACGAAGTAGACAATTATCTTTAAAAATGTTCTACTTATGTTCTGGAAGTAGGAGTAATTTTTGTGATTTCAATTCGAGCCGTTCTCGGTCAGGGGCCAAGAAGTTAAAACTCGAAAATTCTTCATACAACTAGGTTAGTAGGTACATAATTTTTCGAATTTCATTCTTGGGCACTTCCTCCTCCTCCTGGTTAGCTACGCCACTGCTGGAAACGAGACATAAATTACATAAATTATTTTTATACATAAATTTATTTAAATACCTCAAAATGACTGTTTAAATATTCCACAAATCATATCTGGATAGCATTGAAAGATTAATGATTATCCGGTTCGTGCTTTCAAAATGTCACATTTAATTTGAAATGCGTTTATATTTGTATCATCGGATAATTGAAATTTGTTGTTTCAAGTCTTAAATGAGATATCAGTCTATATTCGTTTTCTAGTGGGAGTTTTGTTTAATTTAAGCATTTACTGACACATTATTATTAAATCATTTTGCAAATTATAATTTTTTGAATAATAATACGAAGATAAGAGTATTATTATTGCAAATAATTTAACATACAAATGAGTCTTAATTATAACGAAAATCTTAGGTATATTTATAACTCTGTATTACTATATCGGGCATTTATAAAATGGCCAACATTATGAAAGTCTCACATCGTGATTTTTATACAAGTAAAGGGAATAAGCGAGCACATAGTGTAATTTATGGTCAGTGGATGCTGCCTGTACACCTACATCTGTCCTTAACGACCCAATATAATACAACACAATACAATAACTTTATTTCAGGCACCATGGCCTTATAAATTAAGAACATTGGCCCGTAGCAATATATACCTTAACCTAAAAATATATATAAAATATAGACATAACTTAACACTATTTAGGGAACTTTATTCTTTATCGCGTCCCTGTGTCGGCGAAACACTACCCCAGAGGGCCAGAAACCGGGAGCGAGAAATATCTCTGTGTTTTGCAAGAACCTGGAGTACGTAGGATTTGAAGCTCGTTGACCTATTAGACTCCAGATGCTGCAAATGTAAAGAGATCGGATCCTCAATGCAGCATCGGCTTCGTTCTTCCACGAAACGCAGGACGTCTTCTCCCGACATACTTTTGTCCAAACGGGAGATGTACAGCTGTATGGTTGGCTCCACAGAGTTGTACTCGCGTTTATTTTGGCGGTCCCACGCTGGTTACAGACGGGTCTCGACCCACGTCTCTTCTGAACAAGAGTAAACTCGTCCTTATCAATCTTGTCTTGGGTCACCACTGGAACTGATTTTATTTCCACGTTCTTTCGCTTTCGATCACAAGAGGGTGCCGGTTGTAAAGATTTTCGGTCAACATCCGCAAACGTCTTCCCTTGTTTTGAGATTGGCTTCGGCGGAGGAGTACTAATGGGTTCAGTCAAGAGTTGAGGTGGTGATGCAATGACGACCTAGGTCACTCTAGTTTCACGGTCATCAAGCCGCTGACAGACGGTATCGCGTGACGGAGTCGCAATCATCGGTGAAATTTGACTACTATTACGGTTACCGCATGTCGTATTTACATTCTGCAACGGCGGTGAATTCACAAATGTTGCAATTATGTTGCGTAACATATTGACTTCGTTCCTCAGCTTTGTTGCGGCTCGTTCCGATTCTTCAAATTTCGAACGGATATCGGTAACATCGGCTTTCAACGTGGTGATGTCTTTCAATAATCTGGTCACGTCTACGTGATCGACGGTCACGGGAGGCAACTTGATGAGATCATGCGCGATGAATGTTGGGATATCATCAGGGTCGGTCTCATTGAACAGCAGCATTGAGCAGCAGCTGAAGATCTCTCTTACCGCGTCCATCCCTGCGATGTGTGATAAGATGGATTTGGGTCACGGCTGAATCTGCTAACACCTTCTTCGTTTGAATGATCTCGTCCTCGGTGAAGCTTGTCATCAGTATCTGCTCCAGAGACACCTGGTCCATGATGTCCAATTTTTGTTGAACAAAGGCCAGGAACTCGTGGACTATGACGGTTTCGGAACCTTTAGGTTGACACAGTAGGTATGCTTACGCTACGAAAATATTGTAGGTTCGGCGTTAGAGCCGTCACGTCATTATTAAGCGACTGCACTAACCGCTAGTAAAATTGCGGCTGACTGAATAAGCGACGTGTAGGTGTTTATTTGGTCACCCCTAACTTTACAATTAACTCTAAAAATATAATATTACAATATGACGCGTTGACTCTACTACACAAAATTTATCGGGATAGGACCACACTCTCACAGGATAAAAGCGTGAAATAGTAGCTATGAAGCTGCTGTATAGTGAGTGTAAAGAACCGGAGACTTTATTTTTAAATGGAAACAAGGCATTCAATTTTATTTCTCTGGGGTGTCAATGTATCTACATTTGATAATTTGATTTTAAATCGAGGATAGATGTAGATGTCTATGAGCCACAGAATCAAGTGGACTGTGTGCTCGTTTGTCATCTATGTATAAAAAACGTGATATTTTTGAACACAAAACATATTTTGATGAATACAGAACTTTTTGTATGTATTACACATTTTCAATACAGGGTTTTTGTTTGAGACATTGCTATTTGCTTGTTGTATGCTAATTAATTGAAAAACACTTAGTTTATCCGCTTTCTTTTCCTAGAATCGATATTTGAAATCCACCTTCTACTACGAATAGAATAGGAAACGATACTTTTATACCCAAGCGATAATTTTATAACAAGCAGGTTACTCATAGCGTAAAATTATTATTAAAATGTGTCATGTTTTTTCAAATATTTAAATTATAAGTTTATAGGTATATAGTAGGAGAAAGAGAGATAAAGGAATAACTTCTAGCTTTTCATTTTTAATCATTACAGATGGTAATGCACCTGTTACGGCCCTCAGCTGCCCCGACAAAAGTCGACTGGGCTAGGGCCCATAGTAGCCTCCTCGACGAGCAGCCAGACGGTTCGGGCCCAATGGCCTATGGATAATTATTCTAAAACGGCTGACAAGCAAACAAAACTTACCGAGTTCCGGAGGTAGGATTGACCACAGGGTACCAGTCAGGTGGTAAGTGAGGTGTATGTAAGTAGTGTGCGAAAGTGTGTATAAATGTAACCTGATATCCCCGATGTAGTCGGACAGCAGATCCACAGGCGCTGCTTTTCTCCAAATGTGCGATCCCTCCAGTGGGCGTTCACCAATTGAAAACTTCTGCTATTATTTCACTATATTAGTTTATCAACTTTATTGTACATTTAATTAACTTCAAATTTAACTAAATCCACGTTAATCGAAATCAAACAAGTGACATACGGCACAACTAATGGCCGCATGGCGGCGTTTACGTCACCTCAATACCATTAGATGACGCGCCGAGGCAAGCGTTATTAGATGCAAATTTCAAATGCTCATATTTGGCCTAAACAGCACCTGTATCCTTATTTGTTTAAATTTCGGTGTAGGTGTACGTGAGTTCTAATAACCACTTACTAACAGGAGTGCTGATGATCATTTGTCCCTTCTTAGTTATAAATGAAACACTTAAATCGACTATTGTACTTATTTTATTAAACTGAAGTGACAAGCACACTTACAGTCCCATCTGATGATAATAAATGGCTAGTGCAGTCCATGGATACTTGCAACCAACTTCAAACAAAAAAGCTAAAGATACGTTGACACTTCTGAGTACTAAGAGGAAATTTCTCACAGCCTGTAACTCTACTAGTTTTCCATACTCTTCAGGCTTAAAACAACAGTTAAAACACTGCCATTTAGCGGCAGAAAAGGCTAAGAGGGTGGTTTCTACCGAGACGGACCACTAAGCGGAAAAGAAGTCCTACCGTCTATATATAAAATAAATAAATACTTGCTTTTTACATAACTTTAATACTGTACCAGTTAAACTATGTAAAATTTGTTAGCAGAAATCAAAGTAAAACCAAAACTTGTAAATGCAAAAATTACTTAACTTTTAATTAGCTGAGCGAACGTAAGTAACTGCTAATTTTTATTTTAAGTTTTATACTTGAAGTGATTTATTCGTCAATTTAAAATGTCTGATAAAGGGTTTTTCAACAAGAACTTTGTTTTCTAAAACAAAATAAAACAGAGTTTAGATGAAGATGATTCAAATTTTTATCGTATTACGAAGAGAAATGTTTGGCAATTATGAATGAAAAATTATATCTGGCAAATGTCCACCACGATCACGCCGACAGATATCGATTATTTCATCAAAGTTTTTAATCATTTTTTGGCAAAATGGCGGGTCTATTTCGTTAATCACGTCACGGAATTTGAGTTTTAAGGCCGCGATCGATTCGATTGGCTCCGTATAGGCTCTGTCCTTAACATAGCCCCACAAAAAATAATCCAGTGGTGTTAAATCACACGATCTGGCTGGCTATTTAACAGCTGAATTTCGTGAAATTATGCGATCGGGAAATTTGGTTTGCTCAGGTCCTAATTAGGCTGTAATGTTTCCTTTTTACAAACTATATTAATTATACTTAATGTAACGTCTACTCTGGTCGCGTCATCACAAACCTTAGTGGTTTTCTGTATGCGACTTTTTAGTATAGTTTTTTTGTAATGCTTTGTAATATGGTAAATAAATTTAAAAAAAATTGATCGTTTCGTTGGCTGTGTGACATGTGGCACCGTCCTGTTGAAACCACATGTTTGTGATATCGATGTCATCAATAATAGGCCAAAATTGAGATGTTAACATCTCGCGATAGCGTGATCCATTGACCGTTACCGCATTTCCAGCCTCATCTTCGAAAAAAAAACGGCCCAATCATGCCTCCAGACCACATAGCGCACCATACAGTGACACGTCGAGCATGCAAAGGCTTCTCAATAATCGCTTTAGGATTTTCAGAAGCCCAAATGCGGCAATTTTGCTTGTTGACGTACCCTGACAAGTGAAAATGGGCTTTGTCTGAAAAAATGATTTTTTCAGAAAAACCAGCAGGCTGTTCCTGAATGAATTGAGCGAATCTACGGCGATTTGAATGGTCGGTCAGCTTCAATTCCTTCACCAGTTGAACCTTGTAAGGCTTCAAAGCCAAATCCTTACGCAAAATTCGCCATGTGGTGGTTTGGATAACCCCAATTGTTGAGAACGTCGAGGAATTGACAAATTTGGATCTTCTTCAACACTGTGGCTCACGGCTGCGATGTTTTCGGTTGAACGACCCGGTCGAACACGCGTTGGTGTTGGCGCATTTTGTACCGAGCCTGTCGATTCAAATTTAGCGACCAAATTCTTAATAGCGGTCTCAGAAGGATGATTATGTTGTCCGAAAATATCACGAATTTTACGAAACGTATTTACGTTCAATGGATCACGCTATCGCGAGATGTTAACATCTCAATTTTGGCCTATTATTGATGACATCGATATCACAAACATGTGGTTTAACAGAACCACCATTTTCATAGTGGATTTTAATTATTTTAATGCGATTTTCGAGCGAAATTGAATTCATTGTAGCAATTGCCAAAGCATCTACTACGAATAGGTCAAAAAACTAAATGTCAAAACTGTCATGTTTTTGGTGTTGCCCCAATTGAAAAACAAAGTTCTTGTTGAAAAACCCGTTATATACAAGAAAATTATTTCACTTTAGCAGTGAAACATATTCCTTACTTACAGAATATTTCTCAAACTAAAAATAAACACTAGATGTACTTTACACAATGACACAAATATTTAAAAAAATGTTTAAATTGAAGCTTACACAAACTTGAAGTGTAATACGAAGATTGTGGTTAGAAAGTCAAAGTTTGTATCGTATTTATCAGATATTTGCTTAGGACAAAACGATTATATCAAATATTTGAATGAGGTAATGACGAAATTTCCTCGTCAAATGCTCATATACATAATACTCTACTGCTCTCGCAAGTGATTTCTATGATAAAAAATTTGTTAAATTATTTCTTTAATTTACAACACATAACGAAGCAACTAGTAAGTACCACGTTGCAGTAGGTACATGTATTACTCATAAATGATTTAGGTGAATTTCCAGAAAAATATATATTCGAACCTTCATTGGATTAAAAAACATATTTGCTCCAAATTTCACTATCTCCGAAAAGATAAACAATTGCACTATTAAATAATCAAAGAATTATTGAAATAAACACTTTTTAAGAACTTAGTTAAGTGTTTAACTAAAATCATTAATGTTAAGGTGTTTCCTTTTCATTCCTAAAAATACATAAAACAAAAGTATCACAAGTCTACTGCTGAACATACACCTCCACCGTAGGTCACCTCATATATGAAAGGATATTTGTTAGAGTTGCCACGCTTTACATAAATAAAGATTTGCTTAAAGCGCCCTATTAATCTCTTTCTAATCATAGACTTCCATCTCCAATAATAATCTGAATTTCTCAGAGAATGATCATGCAATAGACAATTGTACCACATCCTTATATCCATAGTCCCATCCTATGAACAGTTATTTTTTCAGGAAGGTCTAAGAAAAAAAATCAATTAGATGAAAGTCTAAGAGATGCAAAAGTGGTTTTAAAATAGAGTTGGGATTTGATAAGAAAAATACTATTGACGAATAATATTAAAGTCCCATACTAAAGACATGTAAGTATGGTCTGTGAAATAAAAACAATTATGTCGAATGTAATAAATACTCTATAAAAGCAATATCAAGCTAGAATTGTCGCTCCATTATAATCATCACGAGCATCATTATAGTCAATCACAAGTCCAATACTGAACATAAGCCTCCCTCAAAGCACGAACAAAGAAGTTTCTTCTCTAGCGGTTACCGGTTTTAGAGTTAATATGGCCGGCGAATCATTTCAACTTACTGATTTGTTGAGATAGGTTCGTTACTCTGGTTCTTCTGGAGATATCATAATTAGATACGAAGTCATAAACATACAACAGCAACATGATAAACATACTACATCAACAACTTCAAACGTA